GAGACTCCAACTCAAAAAAAAAAAAAATATGTCTACACATTTTTTGGCATCCTCTGTGTGTATATATATATATATATATATGAAAGCAAACACATGTGAATAAAAGAAATGACAATGAAAAAAGGATTGGGAGTATGTGTGACTCTAAAGGAAGTTGCTGAGCCCAAGGTCACTTAGCCTGCAAGTGGCGGAGCTGGGGTTTGAACCTGCAGCCAGCCGGGGCCCAGAGACTCTGCTCCACACCACCATACCACACCGACTCCCTCGCAGAGAACTCGGGGTCTCCCATGTGCTGCTTCCTTCCACATCACCCAGCCTGGGCAAGGCCTGGGGGAAGGTTCCAGCGTCTCCAGAAAAACACTGGTGGAAGGGCGGCCCCTGGTGGCCTCCCTGGCACCTGCCACAGTCCCCTCTCGTGCCCCGGCAGGCTGAATGGGAGCTACGAGGCCCTCAAGGGAGGCAGCGCCATCGAGGCCATGGAGGACTTCACCGGGGGCGTGGCAGAGACCTTCCTGACCAGAGAGGCCCCGGAGAACTTCTACGAGATCCTAGACAAGGCCTTGAAGAGAGGCTCCCTGCTGGGCTGCTCCATTGATGTGGGTTGCTGGTCTCTCTCATTCGGGCTGGGGCTGGGGCAGGGTCAGGGACCCTGGCCACACCGGGGGCGGCACGTAGCTGGGGGCAAGGGGCAGTGTGTCTCTCTTTACGTGAACGCGCATGTTCTCCTTGAATGCTCTTTGGATGACCAAGGTAAGAGCTTGTCCTATCAGATGGAGCAACTCTAGGATGCGTGCCCCCTCTCTCCGCACCTCCTTTGTGGCCTTGGTCCTCCAGCCCCGCCCCTGGACCTGGGACCACCTGGTATGTACCCTTCACAGCCTTCTCCCCGCGTCACACACAAACATGGAGGTGGGTTGGCTTGATTTCGCTACCATGAAATCGCACCCTACAGTTCTCTGACCCCTGTTGTTTTCTCACTCCATACGCCGTGAGTAAAAAAAATCAGGAGATGGAAATGCAACCGTGTTTTTTTTCTTATTTCCTATGTATACAGACACACACACCAGTAATTTTACCTCCTCTGGTTGTTGAATTCTATTCAAAAAAGTTTTCTGTTTCCTCTTGGATTAACCTTGGGGATCTATGTTTTGCTGATAAATCATCCAGTTCTCTGCACTTTCAAGTTTGTGGCATAGGGTTGCATGTCATGTTATGTGCAACTTTCATCTCTTGAAATATATGCACTTTTTTTGTTTCTTGGGTGTATGTGGCTGTGTCTTCTCCCTCGTCCCATCCTATTTGGATGGCGACAGTCAAGTTGTTCTGTGCGGGAACAGAAAAGGGAACTCTTTATTGAGGTCCACTCTTGGAATGAGGGTCTCCCCCCGCCCCCGGGGAAGAGAATGGGGCTTGCCGATGTCGCTGCTGAACACCTTAGGGAGTCCTGTGTACCCAGTTTACACAGCCCCTGCACGTGTGACCCACTCCTGGGGAGCAGGAGGGGCTGGGGGGTGTGACGGAGCCAGACGTAGGGCTGGGTCTGGTCGGGCAGGGGAGGCTTGACTTGGACAACGGGTCTGACTTTGCCCTTTTCGTGTTTCAGACCAGAAGTGCTGCAGAGTCTGAAGCCCGGACGCCTTTTGGTCTGATTAAGGGCCATGCCTACACTGTCACGGGAATTGACCAGGTAGGCAACCTGATCACCCCCTGCAGGACACAGGGAGGCGTGACAGTGCCGGTTCCTTAGACACTCATCTGGGGCGTGGCGGTTTCATGCCTGCCTTTCAGGCATTTCAGAGACTCTCGTCTAAAGGAGGCAGGATGGAGTTCAACACCAGGAGAGGGAAGCCGCGTGGGCCGGCCACAGCACCAACGTGTTTAGCGGGTGTGAGAGCCTGGTCTTGATGGTTTGTTTGATTTCCTTTCTTTCCCAATTACAGATCAGTCTTGGGGTAGTTAAGATTGTCCAGAGAAACAGAACCATGAGGAGGAGAAAAGAAAACTGGCACATATATATGGCGGGGGGTGTTGTATGAATATATATGTGTGTTTATGTATGTGGACACACACACATACATATGCAGTTGACCCTTGGATGGCACAGGTTTGAACTGTGCGAGTCCGCTTGTACGTGGGCTTTCTCCGGTCTCTGCCAACCCTGAGACAGCAAGACTAACCCCTTCTCCTTCTCCTTCTCATCCTCACCCTCATCCTCCTCGGCTATTCAACGTGAAGAAAGCAAGGATCAAGATTTCTGTGATGATTCGTTTCCGCTTCATGAATAGTAAACATTTACTCCTTCTTGTGATGAGCTTAATGGCATTATCTTTTCTCTAGCTTTATTATAACACAGTAGGTGATACCTATGGCATATGAAATGTGTTCATCGACTGCTTACGTGGCCATAAGGCTTCTAGTCAACAGAAGACTATTAGGAATTAAGTTTGGGGAGATTTATATGTAGATTTTCAACTGCACAAGGGGTTAACACCGCTAGCCGCCAGGTTGTTCAACGGTCAGCTGTAACGGGATTTATTATCAGTCATTTGCCATGTGACTGTGAGGCTGAGAAGCCCCATGATGTGCTGTCTGCAAGGTGGAAACCAGGAAAGCTCAGGGTGCAGTTCCGGTCTGAGGTCAGAGGAAGATGAACGTCCCAGGTCAACAGTCAGAAAAAGGGAGAGGATTCTCCCTGCCTCTGCCTTTTGTTCTACTCAGGTTTCCAACAATGGGGTGAGCCCCACCACACACATACACTGGGGAGGGCCATTGCTTTACTCAGTCTAGCAATTTAAATCTAACCTCATCCAGAAACACCCTCGCAGAGACAACCACAGTAATCTTTAAGCAAATGTCTGGGCACCCCAGGGCCCGGTCAAGTTGACACATAAATTAGCCATGACTGGTCTCATTCTCTGCAGCCTTAGCTCAGGGTAGAACTGATCATGGGGGCCACTCAGACCCCACCCAGCAACACCCTGAAGTATAGGGAGCGGTTGGTTAGGAGGAGAGCTCCTTTAGGGGCATGAGGGAAAGAGAAGGGCGATAATGGGATGCCAGAGGAGCACAAGAAGCCTAAGGTTACACCCTCCCAGGTTCAAGCCTCTGCCCAGCCATGCCTCTCCTGGACACACCTCTAACCTGGTCTGTGGAGGGTGCAGGTGCCTCTGGTCTTCTCTTGCTGCCAACACGTTTTGTAGGACACACTCTGAATGTGTGAGCAAAGAGTCCAGAAGGTAGGCTCTGTCCTTCCTCCTCAGTGGGACCGAGGTGTAAGGACTGGGTTCCTTGAGATCCTGCAGAATTTTAGAATTTTACCCATTTGTGTTTGCCCTGTTGTCCACCTTCCCTGTCCGTAGATGCTTTGCCAACCGCTCACCTGAGAGGGCTTGTGATTTTTTAGGTTAATTAGGTTTTAGGTTTTTCAAAATACGATTCCAAGCAACAACAGAAAGTTTCCATCATCTTGTTGAATTGCTTTTGCTTTCTTTTCACCTGCAAGGCACTTGCCTTCCCTGGACATTTCCAGTCAATGAGCCTCTAAAATAGTGAACTGCAGGCATGTCTTGGACTCTTCGGAGCTGAATACTTGAATTATTTTCACACATTCAAGATATGATTTATGCCAAATACATGAGGATAGCTAAAGTTACTGATTCGTTGGTGGATGGCCGTCTTTTACTTCCACCCTCTGCTCCTCCAAAACCTTTCTCAGATGCACGGGTTTTTGCCCGGCTCCAGGGCAGAGCGTGAGCATCCTGGCCAGAGGGCTGTCCAGGGAGGCGCAGGAATCCTCAACGACTGGCGACAGAGAGACTCAAAAAAAAAAAAAAAGAAGAAGAATGCTGGGTTTAGAAGACTAGAAACACATTTTTGTTTATTGTTGTTGTTGCCTAAATTCCCAGCATGAGCTGATTTTCCTGTTATTAATCTGTGAGTAGGATGCCAAGAATGAACCAAATTCAGGAAGTTTTATGAGCACTTTTTAAAAATATGTAATTTAATTTTCTTTTTATTTTAAAGATGTGGGATACAATTCAGGGTTAGGTAAACAAACGTTGATTATGCAGGTGCCCTTGTTGATGAGGTGTGCCCCTCCCTCCCCTGGCAGTTTCCCTCAGCTGCCGATCCCTTTCTTATAGTATTATGATAATTGTTCAAGGTCTGCTTTTGAGTGAGAACATATAGTACTCTGTTCTTTGTTTCTGCAATAGATCAATGAGTATGATCAACTCTAAATCCATCCAAGTTGCTGTAAAGTCCTTATGTTTGTCCTTCTTTATGGCTGCATAATATTCCATTGTGTTCATGTACCACATTTTTTTTTATCCTGTCCAGCTTTGATGGACAGCATGGTTGGTTCTGTGTTTTTGCTATTATGAATAGAGCTGCAGCAAACATACGTGTACAGGTATCTTTTTTGTAGAAGTATTTGAGTTTCTCCAGGTATATTCCCAATAGGGGAATTGCTGGGTCATATGGAAGGTCAATTTCTAGTTCTTTCAGAAATCGCCACACTGTCTTCCAGAGAGGTTACGCTAGTTTGCATTCCCACCAGCAATGTATAAGCATTTCTTTCTGTCCACATCCTCGCCAGCAGCTGTTGTTTATTTTATTAATGATGGCCATTCTTACTGGGTTTTGGTGGTATCTTAATGTGGTTTTGATTTGCATTTCTCCAAAGAGTGAGGTTGAGCACTCTCATGTGTCTGTTGGCTGCCCATATATCTTCTTTTGGGAAGTGTCTATTCATGTCTTTTGCCCACTTTTTACTGGGGCTGTTTGTTTCTTTCCATTAGGCACGTTTGAGTTCCTTGTAGATCCTAGATGTTAGGCCTTTGTCAAATATATTTCCCATTGGCAAATATTTTTTCCCATTCTGTAGGCTGTCTCTCTGCTCTCTTGACAGTTTCTTTTGCTTTGCAGAAGCTCATCAGTTTGATGCGGTCCCACTTGTCTATCTCATTTCTAATGGTATTGGCACTTAGGGTTCTGATCAGGAATGGGTTGCCAGTTCCAATTTCCATAAGGGTGCCTCCTGCATTTTCTAAGATCCTTACAGTTTGAGGTTTTACGTTTAGGTCTTTGATCGATTTAGAGTTAGTTTTTGTGTATGGTGATAGGCAAGGGTCCTGTTTCTGCATGTGATCAACCAGTTTTCCCAGCACTATTTATTGTATAGATTCTCCTCTTCCCAATGGTTGTTGTTGGAAGACTTTGTCAAAGATGAGTTGGTTGAGAAATTGAGTCTTTGCTTCCAAAAACTCTATCCTGTTCCATTGGTCTATATGCCTGCTCTTGTACCCAGTATCAGGCTGTTTTGATGACTATAACCTTATAGTAAGGTTTAAAGTCTGGAAGTGTGATACCTCCCGCTTTGTTTATTTTGCTAAGGATTGTTTTGACTATCCATGGTCTTTTATGTTTCCATATGAATTTCTGTACTGTCATTTCCAGGTCTGAGAAGAATGATGTTGATAATTTAATGGGTATTACATTGAATCTATAGATGGACATTTTAACAACGTTGATTCTTCCTATCCATGAATATGGAATATTTTTCCATTTGTTTGTGTCTTCTTGGATTTCTTTCAGCGGTGTTTTGTAGTTCTCATTGTAGAGGTCTTTCACTTCTCTGGTTGTGTGTCTGTGTGTGGCTATTGTAAATGGAATTGTGCTTTTTATTTAGGTCTCTGCCCACTTGTTGGCGAATAGGAATGCAACTGTGTCTTGCACATTTATTTTGTACCCTGAGACTTTGCCAAAGTCCTTTATCAGTGCAAGCAGGTTTTTGACAGATTCTCTTGGATTTTCAAGATGTAGGATTATATCATCAGCAAAGAGGGATAACTTGACTTCCTCTTTTTCCTATTTGGATACCCCTGATTTCCTTCTCTTGTCTAATTGCCCTAGCTAGGACTTCCAACACAATGTTGAACAATAGGTGTGAGAGTGGCAACCTTGTCTTGTTCCAGTTTTCAGGGAAAATGTTTCCGGTTTCTGTCCATTTAGCAATATGTTAGCTGTGGGTTTATCATAGATGGCACTTACTATTTTGAGATATGTTCCTTCTATATCTAGATGTTTAAGCGTTTCTATCAAGAAGGGATGCTGGATTTTATCAAAAGCTTTTGCTGTATCTAATGATATAATCATGTGGTTCTTGTTTTTCCATCTGTTGATGTATTTAACTACATTTGTTGTCTTGCAAATGTTGAACCAGCCCTGCATCCTGGGGATGAAGCCTACTTGGTCACAGTGGATGATTTTTGAGATGTGTTTTTGGACCCAGTTTGCCAGAATCTTGTTGAGGATTTTTGCATCTATGTTCATAAGGGATATTGGCCTATAGTTCTCTTTTTTGTTGGAGCTTTACCAGGTTTGGGTATCAGTGTGATGTTAGCTTCATAAAATGACTTGGGGAGAATTCCATCTTTCTCAATTGCCTGGAATACTTTCAATAGGATAGGTATCAGCTCCTTGTACATTTTGTAGAATTCTGCTGGAAAGCCATCCGGTCCAGGGCTTTTTTTTTTTTTTTAGGTAGTTTTTGTACAACAGAGGCAATTTCTTGGGTTGTTATTGGTCTATTTAGTGTCTCAATGTCTTCTTGCTTCAACCTGATGAGGTTGTGTGATATCAGAAAGTCCTCCATTTCATTTAGGTTATCAAGCTTGTTTCCATATA